AAGTATTACTAAAATAATTTACAATTTAGATATTACAAGCAATAAAATGGTATATAAAACTAGGTTTTGAAGTGAAAAATAGTGATGATGTTGAAAATGCCATCAAGGATATCGCAGGTACACATGTGGCTAATTTAAATCTAAATAGAAATACAGGTATTTTTAATTTCTAATAATAAATATTATACTAACTAAACAATACTAATAAATATATTTCATAATTAGATAAAGAAAAACTAGGTACTATAACGGGAATTTCAAATTTTCAAGAATGGATCTGATCACAAAGTGAAGAAAAAAGTGGATATATTTATGCTCGTGCTCTGCCAGGTATTGGTACTTGGAAAGAGTATACATCTGAAAAAATAGAGAAAATAATGAAGAAAAGAAAATTTGAAAAATCTCACCTAAATTATACTCAACATACGAAGCTAAGTAAATATTGGATTATACCATTTGTGGACAAACCCAGTAAATTTGTATTACTTTTGATTATTATTATTTGAATTACTAATTTGAATCAGCTCTTTAGTATATATAAATAAGTAATAGTGTTTATAGCACCAGCAATTTCATCTAATATCAATAATGGCATTATTAGAATCAGATAATAATTGATATAACAAACCAGATGAACTAAATGGAAATCAATAACAAACTTGCACAATATAATTCATAAAGGTATAGTATTATTATTTTGCGCCAGAGTATTATAAAAGGATTTTATTGACAAAAAAAAAAATTGTTTTATAGTCACAAGTTTTTTTTTTCTGGTTGGGCTTTAAAAGAAAATGAAAAAAACCAAATACGTGAACCAGTAAAAAGAATGATTGCAGAAGTCAAACATTTATTGAAAATAATGTTTCACACAAGAACAGCCAATTCTCGTTAGAAAATGAGAGCACAACAAATGCATGAGGAATTGTTACAGTGAGTATAAGAAGATGAATTATGTGAAGAAGATGTACCTAAAGTTTCAACTATTCAAAATTGGATTTCAGGTTTTTCAAGGAGGTGGAAAGAAGCAATGGCACTTCGTTCTATAGACGAAAATAGTGAATAAATATAGTATTTATAAAAATAAATATGAAATATATTCAAAATAAATATAAAATAAATATCCAAATTACAAATAAATATGAAATAAATATTCAAAATTATAAATTTTATACATATTTGAACGTAAAAATAAATATATATATGTATGACATTTACCGTGAATCTGCCATTGCTCCAAAGTAAAAAAATTTTTGACGAAGTCGACATATATATTTTTTTTTTAAAAAACGGTTTTTTGACATTTTTTACATATAATCACGTGGTTTGGATAGTCTGTGTTCAGTGTTGATCATTATAACCTTATTTGAATTCTTGTAATTTGAAGATGCATTATAATTGATCGGCAAAATTTGCCTCAAATTAATATATCAATTTAATGCTGATTTCTGGCAGATTGCATCTTAATTCAAAAAATTATTAGCTTAAATACAAAGTAGCATAAACTTATTTTCTATCTAGAACTTGAGTTTTTACTTAAAAAATTTGTTTTAAATTATTAACATCAAATAATTTTAAGTGATATAATACTTATTAAAAAGCTAAAAAAATTGTCAATAGATTAAAATTTTCTAAGATATATTTCAATTTCTTCAGAATGACTTTAAAAATTTAAGAATCATAATAGCATTTATTAATAAAAGCTTGTAAAAGAAATTTTATTTGCTAATAAAATTATTATTACTAATATTTTACTTTTATTAAAAGTATGTATTCTAATTATCTTTTTAAAAAATCTATAATATTGATAAAACTGAACTATATTATAAATAAAATTTTTTGTAATACAAATTAAAAAAATAAAAAAATTAAACAAAAGAATATTTATTTTGCATAATTTTAGACTAGAACCTAATCAAACACTTGCAACTAAATATCTTGTCAGACATAAGATTAATAAGAAATGTTTTTCAATCTTATATAAATTTAAATCTCTAATAATTGGTAAATATAAAAAATTATATTGCTTTAAAAATGTATAATATACCATAATAATACTAAAGCCTAAATAATTATATCTCTTTTTTAAGAATAGATTAAGAAATTTGTTCATCAAATTGGTCTAAAGTATCAAAACTAATATGTATTACTTTTTTTTTAATAACTGTTTTAGCTATAAATTAGTCAGTATTACTTTATAATATATTTTTTACTTTAATTATAACTTCAAAAATCTAACTAATAGATTTTAAAATTATTATGATCTTTAAAAAATATTATTATTATCTTCATGTATAATAAAATATATTTATAAATAAATTTATTATATAAAATAAGTACTTAAAATTAAATTACTTATTTTTTTATTTTTTAAAAGCTTAATACTTTAATAACTGTATAGAAAACTTATATATAAATATTTTATAAGTAATTTATTTTATTATCTAAGTCTAAGATAAGATTAAAGTCAATATAATTTGTAACTACTAATATCATATAAAGATTCTTTTCACTTATATTAATACAGACATAGATTTGAAAAATAATTTAAAAGATAAAAATTTAATACTTATTAATTTGTAGATATACTTTAAACTCTTAATTTTTTAATAAAATAATTAAAAGAGTTTTTAATATTTTTGAAAAAAATGTTTATAAAGTTTTTAAAAATGATCAAATTATTAAAAAACTTATATATTTTTAAAAATACTGATAAGTCAAATATGAATTTAGAAGAAGTGAATGATAGCTGTAAAATTTCTATTATTAGTACTAATACTATAGTAGCTAATTTGAAAACTATAAGTATATATCTATTTTAATAGAAAAATGTAAAAGTGTATATATAAAGTTAATAGAAAAAATCAAAAAATTTTTTAAAATCAAAAAAATAAGTTTAATGTAACTGATATTAATATATATTTTATTAAAAGTAATAATTAACTTTATAAATTTGTTTTAAATTTTAAATAAATGTATATCAAATTATGATTTGTATAACTATATTTTTTTTTATTTATTATTTTATAAATGTATATTCTTCTTAAATGCATATTTATGATCAGTTTCTAAAAATGTATTTATAGAGATATTACTATTAAAAATATAATTTATTTTTTGATTTAGTATATTTTTAATATAGTATACTTTTTAAAAATTAAAAATTAGATTTGAAGTTGAATTATATATTTATACTTTTTTTTTATACTTTTTATTTACAAATTTAATAATAAACTAATTCTTTATTAAAGATATAAAGATTAAAAAAATTTCAAAAAAAATTTTATTTTATATAATTTAAATATTTACAATCTAAAAAAAAAAGATAAATTCATTTTTATAAAAAAATTTAATCATATAAAATATTAATAATATTTAACTTTGATTAAAAACTTAATTTAATAGATAAAACTATTAAATTACAGAAAAAATTTGTAAAAAAGAAATTACAGAAAAAACTGTATATGAAAAGAAAAAATAAATTACATTATTTTGTATAAGTTATTTGTTTAATGATTTATAATAGTAATATTGGAATATAAAAAGTTATTTTAAAAATTAATATTATCAATCATAATAATAAATTTATAATTATAGTCTTAATTCAGTTTAAATATTATCTTAAAGTTATTTAAAAATTAAATCAATAAATTTAACTGAATATAAAATCTAAATATTAATTCAAATGCAAATTAAATACTAATTTGAAATTATATTTAAATATATATTCAGTTATGATAAAAAATCTGATTAAAAAATGCAAATTTTAATTCAGATTTTTTAAAACTAATATTTGATTTCAAAAGTTAAAAAATTTAGTTTCAATTTAGTATTTATAAATCTGATTCTATACGCTAATCAATATTATTGAAAAAATGAAAACTATTAAATAACTAGCATACCTTAAGTATAATAAAGTTCAGTAGCAAAGAATATTTATATAAAATTGCTTTATATTTAAAAAAATTAAAAATTCATATAGAATTAATATAATAGTTAGATATAAAACTTTATTGTAAAATTTTAGATCAAAATTTTTAAAGATTTAATATATTATGAATTAAATATTGAAAATATTATCTTTTAATAAGATAATAATCTAAAACATATGATAAGAATAATTAAAAATTAGTTAAAAATAATAATATTATTATATTAAAAATAACTTACTTAATCATTAGATTTATAACTAACTGAATGCTTATAAAGTGAAATAAAATAATAATTAAAAATGTTGATAAGTATATAAAAATAAGAATCAGTTTTAAATTATAATTTATTAATTTTTTATATTAAAGTGCAATGGCTTTGTATAATTTTTATTAAAAGTAAAGTAAAATATAAAAATTACAAAATATAATTTTAGAAAGTATAAAAGCTTTTATCTACTTTGGAAACTAAATTAAATTAAATCAACCTTATTTTATTATAGATTAATCTACCTAAAATTAATTCAAAATAGATTCAACTATTTAGTATAAGAATCTAAGCTGCTATTAGTCTAAAAATTTGTTTAAAGAATGTTATACTTAAAAGAGGATTTGAAAAAGAAGGGTTGTTGGTTAGATGAAGAGAAACCAGTGGTAACAAAATAATTTCGTTTCTGTAAAAAAGAAATAACTTGCAATTTTTCAAACTATTTGTAAGATTTACAATTATCAACTAAAAAGGATTTAATTTTGATAAAAGAATAATAAGTGGCTGATAAAAGTCTCTGAGTTAAAGTTTTATTGTTACAAATTTAAAGTATCAAGTTATATAGTATAAAGGGAATAATGTCTTTGATGAAATCAATAAGTTAAGCGAGTTATTATAAAAAACAATGTTTACAAATCTGAAGTTTTATTTCATTAAGGCGTTAACATCTAAATTAGCTTTTGCTAATTATTATGGTGAATTTTAATTTTGCAAATAAAAATAGAATAAAATCAGATATGATTTTCATACAAAATAACGAATAAAAAAGATTAAAATTATGTAAAATGTTATACTGAATACGTCCTTCAAAGCTCAATTTTTAAAGCATATTGAAAAACGCGTTTATTAATCCAATCTGGAGTGTTCTTGACATCAAACCTTTGCATTTTAAAATCATCATACAGATGCGCTGGTACAACAAAGTAATAATAAATGAAACCTTTGACTGATTTTCCACCTAATTTGTCACAAAGAAGATTTAAACCAGTCAGATTAATGGGATGATTTTTTGAAATAGTCATCTGAAAGACCCGATTTGAAGCAATAATTGAATCAACAGATGGAAAATTTTTTTTCTTTGGTTGATAATACTTTTGTGACTCGATCGAATCAATACTATTTTTGTTGAACTTTAGTATCTCGTTCTGTAAAGATAAATTGACAACTGCATTTGAATCTTTATAATTGCGGTTAAGATAAGGATCTAAAGGACGAACATCAAAATGTCCTCCTTTTCGCAAAATTCTGTGAGCAATATACTCAAAGCAGCTATCTAAGAGCGAACTACCTATACCCGCTCTAATTTGTGCAACAAGTTTTTCTCTTATACGTGCTTCGTATTGATCAATCACCCTTTGCTTCAAATAATCTGATGCAAATCTTACAGTTACCTGTGTATAGGGTTCTTTACCATCTTGATCAAGCTGAAGTTTATGTGAAGAAAGTTTTTCAAGTGTTTCTTCCGTCTTCATGATATTGTCATCTTCAAGGTCGTAATCATCTTCGTTGTCATCATCGTCATCATAATTGATCGGAAGGTTCACATAGATATGAGCGATCGTGTGACTAATTTCATCTGTTCCTATTACACTTTCACCAATAAAATCAAAAATAATCTCTTTAATACATGAAATTGCCTCTTCAAGCCTATTTTGGTGAGTTATATCATTAGCCTTTTCCAAAACAAACCGAGGGATCCCTCCCCACCTAATAAACAAATATACAGCCTGTTTTTTTTTTATATTTGTATAAAGTTTCCTGCATGTATTGATCTCTCTCCACTTCCATGTTGGCATAAACCGTGATGTACTTCTACTATATTTTATCAAAGTGCTTATAGTGACTCTTATTGGGTGAGCAGATTAGAATTGTTTTAGCGTTGACATCACTTGGTTCCTTACCATCTACGATGTACCAAACATTCGGGTCTCTCAGGTATGGTTCTATATCGTCACTTTTAGTGGCATTTTCCCCATCAAGACAATCGGTTTAGCTTCATTTGCGTTATCATATACAATAGTCTGATTTTGTAGTGCGAGCAAATAAAGTAAATAGTATCCGAAATAGGTTTTCCGATACCCGGATTCCCGGTTATACGAATTTGTTTCTTTTAAAGACAACAACTTGCAGATCAAGATAACATTTACGAATGAACACAGTGGAAGGTCCATTTTCCTTTCCCAAAAATCGAGTATTTTCAGATAGTACAAGAAATTCGCCACAAGATGCATCCTTTAAAACTCGCCAAAATTTGTTCAGTCTATCAACTATTTTTACACGTTTGTTAGGAGGCTCTGTATAATAGATTGAATGAATATGAGGCACAAGAAACGAAATTACAAAAAAATCAGTGTAAGATATTAAGTATGACACCACGAATATAAAAACCAGGACGCGTGTTGACCAAATTTATTACGACCCATTTACCAGCAACGGGTTGCACTACGATAACGCGAATGTGTTTTTGGGGCGGGTTTGGCGATAAGAGGCAGTAAGTATTCGGTATTGTTGGCGAATATGACAAAAAAAAGAGCGAAGTCAAGCACATTAATTTATACTTCAATTGTATGAAAACATACCGGTTAATATATTTCTCAGGTATGTAGCTTTAACGTTATCATTGCCGTACTTGAGAGAATCTTCCAAATCAGGTATTTTATCAGGATTATTGGAAATATAAGCTAGCAAGTCACCAAATTCTTTTTCTGTTTTTGCTGAATTCAAGAAACGCGGTTAAATTCTTGAGGGACAGTAGTAGAGGTAGTGGACATGTTTATGTGCAACAGGTCGCCCCGAAAAAGAAAAATTTTTTTTTGAAGATTGATATACAGTATATATAAGAAATCGACCGTCGCACAGATTAATCTGATGATTAGTTAATCAATTACGCAACTGGCTTTTATGTTGAGGGATAAAGCCATTCTTTTTTGACTCATTTTTTTTTTTCGTTTACAATCAAAATAAAAAAAATTAAAAAATGACAAGTCTAGAAATTCAATTAACAAAAGCTAAACTCGACCGATTAGAAAAAAAGGTTATATAACGAATTCTTTGTACAATTTTTATATACAATTTTAATAATTTTTTTTTTTTTTTTTTTTTTTAGTATCAGCAAGTTAATCTAGTGAATATAGAATTATCATCGTTAAGATCTAATGCTGTAAGTATATCATTTACCATGCTTTCTTCACCTTTGTTCATTTTCAATAATTTTTTGTTTTTATTTATAAGTCGATATATCAAAAAAAAACGAATACGAACGTATTATTTTTCGTGGATAACAAACAAGAACTTAAAACCAGCAAAAAAAGTTTGTATTTTACATAAATCTCTTTAATAAAGTTACAATCTTAAATTCTAATTTTTTTTTTTTTTTTAAAAAAAAAAAAAATTAGAAGAGTTAATGGTAATTGCAAATAATATAGAAAGAACTAAAAAAAAATTGAAGAATTTAGGTGGATGAAATTCTTACTGTTTTTAGACAATGATCTAAGCCACACGTTCACGTGAAATCAGTGTAATTCAAAATATTTTTCATGTTAAAACTTTTTTCCATTAAACTTTTTGATTTCCAAATAATGGCTTGGCAAAGATCTGTAATAAAGTTTCTAGTAGTGTCCCTTGGAAAGAAAATACTCGTATTAGGGATCGCTAAAGTATGTTCATTAGCTGAATACCAAGTACAGGTATTAAATCAGGTTAAAAGTAAACTGAGCATAAAGAATTACTAAACTAAAGTATTTCATAATGTAGATGTATGGAATTCCTCATGTTTATCGAAGAGCGTTGGAAATAAATAAAAAAGTATTTAAAAATCCTGAAACGAGAAAAATAACTGCAAATTTAGTGAAACGAGGATTTCTATTACCAAATACAATATCTGTTAGATTAGGGATGATACCACAAAGGCCTATCAAAACTTTCCCGTCATCATCATCAGCAACAAATAATACTGGCAAAAGCAACACTATTACCACGCCTTACACACCATCTAGATTAATTAAACCTAGTCTTCCCAACCTGCCCATTGGATCCATCAAGAATCCAACTACTTCCACACCTATCACACAAACCACCACCACCACATCCACCACCACACCCACCACCACACCCACCACCACATCCACCACCACACCCACCACCACATCCACCACCACACCCACCACCACATCCACCACCACATCCACCACCACACCCACATCTTCAACTAATAACTCAGCTTCATCCACATCTCAAAAATGAATCATTATGATCTTTTATTTGGATTTATACAAAAAAATATCGCTTAAAACAAATTAGATGCGATCTATCTTTGACATTTATATTTTTATTTTGAAATCAAAAAAATCCTTACCATCACAGTTTACATTTGACTCTGCTATTTGTAAACATATAAGCCATACGATACAATCAACTCTCTCTAAATGCACCTCTCTAAATGCACACATTATATATTTTCTCTCTAAATGCACGCTCTCGTTCAGTCCCAAGCATATAGAAATCGTATAGAAATTTTCTCTTTAAATGAACATTATTAAATATTTTCACTATGGTCTAAAAGGGGGGTTGCATTTAGAGAGAGACTATACAATAACGTGTTATTTGTAAATTTACTTTAACAATAACGTGTTATTTGTAATCAAAAAGCCTCATGATAAAATCCAAACAAAGAAAACGCATTTTTATATGTCTAAGATCTTCATTGTCGGTGATATCATATTACGTATAAGGATTCTTTTTAACCAAGATAAAAAAAATTATTATAAATACGACGTGTATATATATATATATAAAAAAAAGATAAAAAATTTTTCACAATGCCTTTTCGTATTGCTCCACCGACTTACCAAGAATATGGTGAGTATATATGCGTATATGTAATTTAAAACGGTTGAATCCGGTCGAACTTCAAATAATGATATTATTAGGTTACACGCCCGTTCAAAATGATCAAACTATTGCCATAAATGAAGAGGATTATACTCCGACAGACGAGAGATCATCCATGGATGGGTTGGCGGCGCAGCAACCTTTTCCTAATAATGTGCGTATTAAATTTTCTGCGCCTCCATTAAAATGTATGCACCTTTGTTTAACCTTATTTTTTTTTCAAAAAAAAAAAATATCTAATATCATTTAATCTATAGCAAAAAAAAAATTTTCTAAATTCTTTTTTCTTGTATTACTGATTTTAATCATCATTCCTTTATTTGGAAAGGTAAATTGAGTAATAAAAAGATCAATTCGCTTAAATTATTAGATCTGTTAATTAACCTGAAGCCCAACTCTTATGAACATTAGTATCTTATGATAAGAAATGAGAGCTTTAGTGGTTATGTAGAGGGTATGTGTAAACCCAAGGTTCCGTGGCAAGGTCCAAAAGAATTTGAAATCGATCCTAAAGAATTCAGCAACTTTGAATTGATCGTAACAGGCAGCGCTGCTGTAAGTAAAAATAATTCTAGTTTCCATTTAATTTTCCCATTTGGCACAATAACGTTTATCAATGGTTTAACTTAATTAGCAAGGAAAAATTCATGTATCACAATCATCAGAAGAAGAAAGTGATTTCTCATCATTAATTAACGTTACGGTACAAATATTACTTGGTCATGAATCTTTACAAAATAGAGTTTCGGTGATTTCGTCATTTAATTCATCAAGCTGTCATCTTAAAGTAACGACCCCTGGAAACGTTTCTTTTCCAAGTTGTATCTTAGTAAACGTTAATATTACATTTCCCAAAAATTTAAAAATATTTGGTAATTTCTATATTAACGTAATTAATAATCATATCATTGATGAAAATTTGAAAAATATCACATTTAATTATGTTGGTTGGAAATCAAGTCAATCCATAAAGGTCAAGGTAAATACTTTATTCTTTTCCTTTTTTTTTTTTAGATTCAAAAGGTGTGGTATTAACTTAGGTATCTGATAGAGTTTAAAATCGCGTGAGATTGCCGTTCAATCTCTTGGAAATATATCAGGAAATTATTATATTGACAGGGCTCTTTTATTAAAAACTGATAATGCATGGATAGATGCTACCGTTAAATCCTTATCTAACTCAACACCAAGATCCATTCATCTCTTTACGTCAAATTCAGCCATTCAAGGATCTTATCCTTTTGCGCATTTATTTGAGGTCCGTACGTCAAATGGAAAAATAGATTTAGATGTAAATGGTAAATCTCAAAGCGGTGGTAAAATTATTTTAACCACGAGCAATGGAAATATTGGTGGTATATATGATGTTAATAGCGAATGGCATGCTTCAACAAGTAATGGTAACATAAATGTTGAATTAAGTCTTGCTAATTCAACTGCTGATAAGCCGGTTCGAATATCTGGAAAAACTTCAAATGGACGCATCAAAACTTTTGTGGTATGTTTCAATTTTACGAATTTTAAAATAATAATGATGATAATTTTTTATTTTTTATTTTTATCATCTAGTCTGATCTATATAATGGTCGATTTCGTTTGCAAACGTCAAATGGAAAGACCAACATTGAAGGAAATGATCATGCTATTGATTATAAAGTAAATACGACATCATATAAAATTGGTTATATAGGGAATAATAAGAACAATGAACTTTTATTATCGAGTTCAAATGGGAAAATTGATCTAAAATTTTTAGATAATTGATGATTATTTTTTATTTTTTATCTTATAAATTAGCACTTTTAAGTATGTAAATATTATTAAATTTTGTTATCCAATCATAATAAACGTTCAAGCGGAAAAACTTTGGATGTTCCTTATAAAAAAAAAAAAATAGGATTTTTGATTATCTTCGGTTCCACATTTCTTTGTTATGTCCTGAATTCAATCAAAATGTCGGAAATAAATAAGATACGCCTAAATATAATAAGAAACTAAATCTTAATTATTCAATCTAGTGATACGTTAATATTGCATCATATTGATTGCCGGTGTAACTTTTCTTTTTTTAAAAAAAGGGGATAAAAACGCGATGTTTGAATTCTACTATTCTTTATCCTGTTTTATTTTTACACAATGTTTAAAGTCAAGATTTTTATTTTTATTGCTTGTTTAACGCTTGCAACTTTCGCAAATGCTATGACAATATATGATAGTCATATTACAAAATTCGAGGAAGAGCAGTTACTCGTCAAGGAATTTCCTTCTAATTATATTTTTGAAACCATTACTGATTGCAGTAATGACAATGACATCCTCGTCATTGAGAATATTTTTATATCGCCTGACCCACCACGTAGGGGTGAAAACGTATACATTAATGCCAGCGGGTATTTGAAAAAGACCGTTGGATTTGGGAGTTACGTTGACTTGACCGTAAAGCTAGGTTTAATCAAGCTTTTACATCAAAAACTTGACTTATGCGAACAAGTAGAAAAAGTCGATAAAAGCTGCCCACTTGAAGAAGGGGAACAATATTTAGAAACTACCGTTACTTTACCAAAAGAAATTCCATTTGTAAGTATTTTCTAGCTTACTCCCATTTTGTTTTGTTGTCAAATCATTTAATAATAATTCTCTGTTATCAAATGTGATAAGGGTAAATATACCGTGGAAGCTTATGTTTATACAGCGGATGAGGAAAGAATTACTTGCCTGAAGGCAAACGTCATGTTCAAACCATGATAATTTGAGGATATCTTACCTTTTTTTTTTTTTTTATAAATCTATATATATTTATATATATTCATCCATCACAAATATTTTGTACAGATTTTAATATTCAGATTCATTAATTGAAAGCTTTGGGGATATCATATATGTTTTTTCTTGGTTCCAATTTTACAAATTATTTTTATTTTATATATATCTCTATTATATCTATATATTTTTTTTCAATAAGTTACATAAGTATAATCTTTTACTTAATTTTTCACTTTTTAATTTTTCATAATGAAGATATAATTGCGATTGAGAGTTTGGTTATATAACTTTGAACAATGAACAACTGATCTCAAATATTTTGATACCCGAGATCCCAAATTCAATCCACTTTAGTTGCATAAGATTGCTTAATTCCACTTTTCACTCAAATAAATAAATTGTGCCTTTTTCTTCTCTTATAACGAAAATGTATTAAAAAAAAAAAAAAGATCAAATCCCCATTTGAATAACAACTTCAAAAACGTATGATGCTCTTTTTTATAAAAAGTTAATTAATTATAACCTAATTAGGGCATAGGTCACCGTACGGAAGAATTGCCGGGATAATTAGTTATTCCTAACGAAACAGATCATTACAAACTTTTGACGCGATTGGCTTTGATGTTTCGTAATCAACAAAATAAAAATCTCTAACGAAAGATTTTTTACGTAATCCGTACATTTTTATACATTCCCGAACTTTCGTGTTACCGTCCACTAACAATTAGTTGATTCATTGTCTGATTGTACAACTCGTCAAGAATTCATAACAATAGTTTTTTGTTTCCTCAAAGTTATAAAGCGATATAAGAATTTTGGTAAATATTACACATGATTTGATCGATGTGAAAATTTGATTCGAGTGAATGACCCCGACATGAGAGATTACCATTTAGGTTAACAAAACAGTATAATGGTGAAACACTGCAACGTGACCGCGTCATCTGGTTTGCGTAAGCTCTCCCCTTATTATATTTGATAATATATTTTGCTTCCTAAACCTTCCTTTACGGTTCTGACCAGCAAACACCGCGGTTAACCCCGTGTAAGTTTCTATTATAAATAATTCATCTCACTTTGCAAAAATTTACCGTTTTTTAAAACTGATATTTTTTAATTCTTTTAATCAATCACCATTATAGCATAAAACAAAAAATATATACGAAGTGAAAAATTTTTTTAAAAAAAAATAAACTATTATAAAATGTCTGATGGAAAGGGAAAACTAATGTACGTAAAATTCTTTCCTTTTTTTTTTTGATTCAACCAAAATATGATTAAACTTCTTTAGATCGTTTTTAAAAATGTTTTATTTAATACATATACTAACCAATCTACGATTATTATCTCTTTCTTATTATTATTATCTAAAAAAAAAACTTTTTCTAAAACTTCTTAAAAAAAACTGTTGCGCTTGATCTGAAATCTGGTTTCATTTCTTTTCAAATCTTTCTTTATAAAAAACCTCACTTACTATCATAAATTCTGGTGTAAAGTGATAACTCTGCTATTAACCCACCTAACCCAGACCCAAGCCATGACCCTGCGACAGCTATACTTCGAAAGAAGCCAGCACCAAATAAATTAATTGTTGATGATGCTACAAACGATGATAACTCTGTAATGTCGCTTTCCACGGCTACCATGGAAAAACTACAGCTTTTCCGTGGTGATACCGTTTTGATCAAAGGGAAAAAAAGACGTGATACTGTATTAATCGTTTTGGCAGACGATTCATGTGATGACACAAAAGTGAAAATTAATAAAGGTAAAGAATTAATTCTGATATGATTCATTTTAAAAATGATAAAAAGGGTTATAACTTTACTTAAATACCAAACTTTTCCTCTGCTAGTTGTAAGAAATAATCTTCGTGTGCGACTCGGTGATGTGGTCGCAATTCATCCTTGCACCGAAATAAAGTACGGAAAACGTATTCACGTATTGCCGATCGATGACACAGTTGAGGGTGTAACAGGTAATTTATTCGATGTATACCTAAAACCATATTTCTTGGAAGCATATCGACCTGTGAGAAAGGGAGATTTGTTTTTGGTTAGAGGTGGTATGAGAGCTGTGGAATTCAAAGTTGTAGAAACAGATCCACCGGATTATTGTATCGTAAGTAAATAATGATGTGTGTACAGTGGGTAGTTTACATGACGATTTACACGAATCTTTTATTTAGGTTGCACAAGACACAGTAATACATTGTGAAGGTGATGCGATCAAACGTGAAGACGAAGAGGCCACTCTCAACGATGTTGGTTATGATGATATTGGGGGTTGCCGAAAACAAATGGCACAAATTCGTGAACTTGTCGAACTTCCCCTGCGACATCCGCAACTTTTCAAATCTATTGGTATTAAACCACCACGGGGTATTTTAATGTATGGTCCTCCTGGCACGGGTAAAACGTTGATTGCACGTGCGGTGGCCAACGAAACTGGTGCCTTCTTCTTCTTGATTAATGGCCCCGAAATCATGTCAAAGATGGCTGGCGAGTCTGAAAGCAATTTAAGAAAGGCCTTTGAAGAAGCCGAAAAGAACAGCCCTGCTATTATTTTCATTGATGAAATCGATGCCATCGCACCTAAGCGTGAAAAGGTGTGTGATTTACGATTGCTCGAAAATTATAATTTCTCACACACACATGGTTTTGACTTATTTTTTTTTTTATTAATGAATTTAAAATTTTTTTTTTTTTTTTAAAAAAAGACCAATGGTGAAGTAGAGCGACGTGTTGTATCTCAACTCCTTACACTCATGGATGGCATGAAAGCACGATCAAATATTGTAGTTATGGCGGCCACAAATCGTCCCAACAGTATTGACCCTGCCCTTCGACGTTTCGGTCGTTTCGATCGTGAAATCGATATCGGCATTCCCGACCCTACTGGACGGTTGGAAATTTTACGTATTCATACAAAGAACATGAAATTGGATGACGACGTCGATTTAGAGCAAGTTAGTTGACAAATCATTTTCTTTCGAATCCTAAGAATATTTTGCTTACGTTTGCTAATAATATATACTATTTATCTATCTCACTTTGTTTTCAAATAGATCGCTTCCGAAACTCATGGTTATGTAGGTTCCGATGTAGCTTCGCTTTGTTCAGAGGCTGCTATGCAACAAATTCGTGAGAAGATGGATTTGATCGATTTGGAAGATGAGACGATCGATGCCGAAGTTTTAGATTCATTGGCGGTTACCATGGACAACTTCAGAGTATGTATAACAAATAGACAGACATTTTCAAATCGATTTACTTTATCTGACCGACCTTTTCTTTATTTTTAAAAAAAAATGATCTACTTTAGTATGCATTGGGAGTATCCAATCCATCCGCATTGCGTGAAACGGTTGTTGAAGTTCCAACCGTCAATTGGAATGACATCGGTGGACTTGAAAAAGTCAAATTGGAACTGCAGGAAACTGTACAATATCCTGTGGAACACCCTGAAAAATTCTTGAAATTTGGTATGTCTCCATCGAAGGGAGTGTTATTTTATGGCCCTCCCGGTTGTGGTAAGACTTTGTTAGCCAAAGCAATTGCCAATGAATGTCAAGCTAATTTCATCAGTATCAAGGTAATATGAAATTTTGATCAAGCGATTTTTTGTTTAAATTTATTCTCATGATAAGCATACTAAGAAAATTATTTTAAAATTAAAAAATGTCGTTCCTAGGGTCCTGAATTATTAACTATGTGGTTCGGTGAATCCGAGGCGAATGTTCGTGATGTTTTTGACAAGGCGCGCGCAGCTGCACCTTGTGTGATGTTCTTTGATGAATTGGACTCAATTGCAAAGGCACGTGGTGGTTCGCTTGGTGACGGTGGCGGTGCCGGTGATCGTGTTCTTAATCAAATTCTTACTGAAATGGACGGTATGAATGCCAAGAAGAATGTATTCGTCATTGGTGCTACAAATCGTCCAGATCAAATCGATCCTGCTTTGCTTCGTCCTGGTCGTCTAGATCAATTGATCTACATACCTTTACCTGATGAGCCTTCAAGGTTTTCAATTCTAAGGGCTACCTTACGAAAATCACCCGTTTCAGAGGCCGTTGATTTGTCGTTCTTAGCTAAATCGACACATGGGTTCTCAGGTGCTGATTTAACGGAAATCTGTCAGCGTGCATGTAAATTAGCCATCAGAGAAAGTATTGAAAAGGAGTTGGCTCGTGAAAGAGAGCTTAAAGAAAAACAGGAATCCGGAATGGAAGAGGACAATGACAATGAAAAAGAGGACATTGAAGAAGAGGATCCAGTTCCACAAATCACAAGGTTCAATATTTATATTTGAAATATAAAAAAAAACAAATTTTTTCTTTTGTATTATAACAGGTTTACTAATGATTTATTTTATTATAATAATCCAGAGAACATTTTGAAGAAGCCATGCGATATGCGCGTCGTTCAGTGTCTGATAATGACATTCGAAAATATGAAATGTTTGCACAAAATCTTCAACAATCTCGTGGGTTCGGACCAAACTTTAAATTCCCTGAAGGTGGTATTGGTGGAGGTTCAGGGGGAGAACCTACCGCTTCAATGGATACCAATGCTGGTGGTTTTCAGGAGGGAGGCGATGATGATTTGTACTCTTAATGGTTAGATTGCAGAATTTGATATTTTTATTTTTACTTTTTAATTAAATAAAATCACGATAGAGCTCACATATTACACACATATATATTGAATAATATTAGTTTTCAAGAGTTTTGTTGAAATAATGTTTGCATTGGTTAAATACCTAAAGAGAAAAAAAAAAGAAACAAAAAAGAATGATATCATTTGTATTTAACTTGGCTGATCAAAAGAAAAAAAAAGAAAAAAACAAAAAAAAAAAAATAACAAAAAACAAACAAAAAACTATTAGTATGGCATGCATTACCTTCTGAATTTATTTCACAAAATTCTGTAGTAATTAATGTATCAAATGAGAAATAAATCAAAAACTGGTATAACAAAATACATTTATTATTATTATTATTATTATTTGGAATAAGTGTAACTTTTAAAAAAAAATTTTTTTTTTTGAAACAATTATAGAAAGAAGAATAGAAATATTTAAATATCATTACATTAACTTGGCAACTTCTGATACTTTTGAAATTTTTTCTTTTTTACATTAAAGGCCTATTTATTTACAAGAGAAGAGGATTTCGATTCAAATATATGTTATATATATAAGAACCTTTTCATTTGTGAGTCTTAGTGGTAATAACTTTTATCATCTCCCTTCCAATTTTGTTACTTTCATCAAACCTATTAGTGTGATTTAAAAATAATACGTAATGTTACACATAATTAACCTCATTAACGTAACAACAAACTAATAAATTTGTTTCTTCTTCACTATACCTCGACTCGAAGAATTTTGCAGTATCTTCAAATCTTTTTTGATAAGCGTGCAGATTTCCAATATTAACACATTCCGCCCATCCTTTTGACGCGCTATAAAATTCCATATCATCCGCTCTAATATCTTTACTGTATAATGCTGAATGAATCGCTTCTTCCAACATTTCCGCATTACGGAATAAATATTCCGTAATACCACTATAATTAATTAGGTTGATATAAGATATAGATTCACGTACATACATATCAAATCAGAGAAGGTAAAAGAACTTACGTCCAAAGTCGAAACAATGGTGTTTGACAAACCATATGTTCATAAGGATTAATCCCTAATGTATACCAACAGTCCACCTAAAAAAAAAAAAAAAAAATGAAATGAAGGTAGAAAATAATTATTTTATTATTATTATTAAACACACCATACCATGGATAACAATGATAGATGGGAATTTGGTTTTCTTTTTTCTTTCGGAACAATAGATAAAGAATATTTATCCAAAAGAGTATCCGATAATAGAATTGGTTCACGTGAATCAGAACATTCACCAAAAACAAATTCTCCCGCCTTAAGGCAAATGATTTTTAATAATCAACGTAACAATTTGTGAGCGTTCGACCCAAACTAAAGACTAATTAAAAGGAGGGGATTGATTTTACCTTTTTAACTCGCGTTCTAAATTCTTTCTCCTTCTCTTGAATCATTAATTTAAATAAATCGGAAACGGATTGTGCGTATTGTTGAATTTGTGTCTTTGCACTTGGATTCATAATTGCCAACCCTTAAATCAATAAGATTTTTTTTTTTTTTTGGTTTAAGAATCGATCGAGTTACATATAATCTGATTAAGAATATGACTTTACCAGCATAGACGTGCCATTTATTTGAATAAATACGTAACGCCATATGAACTTTGACATTCTCTATTCCACCCACGTATTGTGGAGTTTCCCACTAAAAAAGATGGCAAGGATTTCATAAATACGGAAGGGGGATTTTAAAACCGCGTATGAAATAAATAAACAAGATTAATATATACTGGAAATTGTCGTTGTGTTTTCCACGCGGTTCCCATGCTAAAAAAAAAAAAAGGATTCAAATTTAGGAAAAAAAAAAAAAAAAAAAAAACTACGATTTAAAGTGTTCGAACTCTTACCTTAAAAATGCGACATGCGTTACCGCTTGAGTATCAGCAGTAATTCGATCATGTTCTTCATACGATAATTTAACGATTTCAGAATCCATGCAGGATAAAACACGCAAGGCGATTTCAAACTTCTCTTGAGAGGCTCTATGTTGAATCATCACCTAAAATAAATGATGGATTATTTCCTTGACAATTGAATAAAAATGAAAAAAAAATTCTCTAATATAAAACCATTCTTAAGATACTTGCCAATGGCTGACCTCTTGAGTCCACAGTTGGCCCATGAAGCGAATGACATGAGACGATATGAACATCATCGGGAAGATGTTTTTCAAAGGCGCGAATTTCAGGTTCTTTGACTGATGTCTAAATAACCGGAAACAAAAAAAATTTTTAAACCAGGAATAACTTTTTACGCAAATTGTCGATAACTTCAATTTATCTCACCTGACCGGCCACAATTGCACCAAGTTTCGTGGCTACAATTGGAAAAATCAAACAAGTGTTTGTTATATATAGAATAAAATGCAAAACATCTCATCATCACCAAAAGTTTCACTTACATGGGCCATATTCTGCCACGACCCTATCAATATTTTCCGCTTCGACGGAATAAATTATAAAATCACTTCGTCTAGACACAGCATGACCATCTCGACAAACATTCATTTTACTATCTAATGATTTAAAGAAATGTTACAAACATTTTAAACAACTAAAAGTTAAGATATTCGAAATTTATTATTAACCTTTCAATAATTCTTTAAAATGTTCATACTGATTAGGTTGGTCACATATATTCACTCTAATCAAATTGATATATGCATATATGCGTATAAAGATTATTATTTTAATATAAACGTCCTTTATCCTTTAGAATAACAAGCGAAGTTTTCGTACTTTTTCCAACCAGCTGCTACAATTCTCTTTGCATACAACAGACCCATATCACCCAGACCTATTAAACCGATCTCCAACGATTCTTTTTCAAAATCGTAAGTTACCATTATGATAAGTGAGAAAAGGAAAAAAAAATATTCTCTAAACCTCACGGCTTGAGGCTTTTAATAAAATAATAAACAATCCCGATAATCTTAATAAAAATTTCCCGTTATAGATTCATTGTCCGTCATACAAAAACAAGTTTAAAAATTTTTTTTCTTAATTTAGAAATATGATTGTTGCTTCATATAGGCGCTTTTGCAGTAGAAAGGAAAGAAACTATCCAAAAAAACTTTTTCTTAATGTTAAATCTGCTTATAAAGTAAAATTTTTTTTTTTTGGTAGTTTCCCTTTCTACTGCAAAGTGCCCATATGCTTCACACGAAACCTTTTATAATTTGAAATATAAAATATAAAAATATATTTTCAATCATTTTATTAAGAATTTTCTTTAAATTGTGTTTAGCAATTTTTTTTTTTTTTTTAAAAAAAAAAAAGTCACATATATAACCCAGGTACTTCATTAAAATCACAAACAAAAATTTACACACGCACATTATTAGGAAGGTTAAAATAATATCAAGGTTTTTTTTTTTTTTTTTAAAAAAAAAAAAAAATAAATAATGGTATATTTGATAAGGTTGGTTTAAAAGGGAATGAAAAAAAATTATTTTACAAGAATTTAAAAATATAATAATGGTAATAGGGAGGGGGATAAAGTTGTTCGGATTTCAAAATTTAAGGTTTACAAAATCCATTCTAATCATTAAAAATTATATTAAAAATTAATATTTAAAAATGTCAAACGAAAAAGCGTAATTAATACAATGCCCATCCAGCAAGCAATATTTTAAAAAAAAAAATTAAAAAGGGGTTATTTTTTTTGTATTTTCATTATTTAATGAATGCGTCGAATTATAATCATTATTATAAGAATAATTATGATTTTCATCAAGCAAAAGATCCATCGGAGAAGTTTCGTAACTCGTCGTATTGTGAGTTGCATGTAACATTGGTGAAGAACTTGGAGATGACCCCGGCGAATGGTTCGGAGAATAAAAAGGATGTTGATATGGTTTTTGCGAAGAACATCTTGGAAAATCATAACAACACTTTTCATTAAAAGTAGATAATTTGTCTTTTTTCCGGCACGCTTCACTACAATATAAATTTTCAACAGCAAACGTGTGTTTATCGCACACAGGACACCAAGAAAGATCCATGTTTTTTTTTAAAAAAAAAAATAATAGAAACAGTATTTGAAGGAGATTTAGAAAACGTTAATTAAAATATGAAGAATTTTGTTGTTATTTTGGGTTATATTATTATAAAGAATTTTTCATTGCGCTTTTCCGTTTTGACGTTATTTTATTTTAATTTTCCATCATTAAAGGTATTTTTGTTCGGATGAGACATTTTTTTTCTTCCTTTGATTTTTTAACCCATACAATTTATAGTTTTTCGTGAAGGAAATTTAATATGTTTAAATATGGAATTTCATTAATTGTTAATAATCCGATCTTACTCCTTCAAATTTCATTTTATCGTAAGTAACATATGTTTCTAAAATTCGATTAAATAAAAACGTGTAAAGGCTTCTGAAGTTTTGAGCAGTCGAATCATGCTTTGACGCATGTGAGATTTATGTTTCCAGGGAAATATTCTTCGATGTTATCAAAGATCTTTTTTTTTATAAGGAATATCTTTACTACGTTAATATTACATGTAATCCTTACTTTAGTTTTCAAATATGTATATTAAAA